CTTAATGTGATATTTGGGTTCGTAATTGCAGGAAAAGAAGCTTGTTGCCGAGATCAAGAGAACTGCTAAAACAGGGAATGAGGTGATTACAATGTTTTAAATCACTTTACTTGAGAAAAAAATACATCCGGAGCTCGATAACTATTTTACAAAAAATACATTTAATCATTTTTTTTTTGGCTCAACAATAAATTTTATTTTTGTTAGGCAGCAACCAAAATTCTTGCGCGCCAGTTAATCAGGCTTCGGCAGCAAATTTCAAACTTACAGGGTAGTCGAGCTCAGATGAGAGGTATAGCGACTCACACACAGGTCAGTAATTGTATGTATAGTCACACTTGACGTGAATTTTTCTGTTATGTTTTGCTTAACGTGTTGTAACTTGAGACATTAATATAAGTTATGCTAACAATGTATGACCATTCACAGGCAATGTCTGCCAACACTTCTGTTGCTGTTGGCATGGAAGGTGCCAGTAAAGCTATGGCAGCAATGAATAAGGTTTGTTTGATTCAGCTTAAACTTAATTGTCCTTTTATGATCTCTCTCTCTCTCTCTCTTTTTTTTTTTCTGTTGTCCACATCCGAATAAAATGATCTTTTCTTTTAAAAATAAAAAAAAAAATCAATTATTTAAAATTGAAATGTTAATTTTGTTACAGCAAATGGCCCCTACGAAGCAGGCGAAGGTGATTCAAGAATTCCAGAAGCAATCAGCGCAAATGGATATGACTGTTGAGTATTGTTTTATGCAATTCGTACCAAACTATATTAATCTCCATTGTGAAGTATGACATTTTTTTTTTTTCTTTGCTGTTTTTTAACCTGTTTGTGTGTAGACTGAAATGATGTCGGATGCCATTGATGATGCTTTGGATAATGATGAGGCTGAGGATGAAACTGAAGAGCTCACAAATCAGGTTTTCTTTTATTTTTATTTTTTCTGTTCTTTGTTCCTTTTATTCTTATGCAATATCCGAGACCACATTTGATGGATGTGTGATGATTTATATGAATATATATTCCAACTTCTGAACTACAATTTACTTTGCTTTGATGAAATGTTTATCAGGTGCTGGACGAAATCGGTGTGGACATTGCCTCACAGGTTCGTATCTCTTTGTTTTTCTTCTTCTTTTTCGTGGCATTTCGTGATAATTTAGTAGTTTTAGCATCTAACATGCTTACCTATAATGTATTTGGGACTTTGTTTTGACAGTTGTCAGCTGCTCCGAAAGGAAAAATTGCAGGGAAAAACAGCGAGAGTGCTGGCAGGTACATATATTTTTATGCCTCTTTTTCTTACTTGTACACACAGTACACATACAATCCCGTATCGGATATCGACTACAATTTATTTAGAAAAAAACAAATTAAAAAAAATAAAATCTCTCTTATTTCTTATGTTTTGCAGTTCGGGTATTGACCAACTAGAACAGAGATTGGCCGCCCTCAGAAATCCATGACAACCAAAATCATGTTTTACTGCTGAGAAGACATTGGCGTTTGTGTACATAATTGGCTGCTACTTCCCTCAGCACAACATTTGCATGTTTCTTTTTCTCGTTTATTGTTTGGTCACACTTTTTTTACTGAATTCTTGAGAAACCATGGACATGTTAGTTTGATATTCTTGAATGGCTTGTTGAAATTACTTACGAAAGTCGATAATAATAATGATAATAATAATGTTGATTTTTCAATCAGTTTTTGACTTCCAAACACTGGTAGTTCTTGATCATTACCAATATTTTTTACTCTCTGAAGTAAAAGCTTTAAATTTTGATGTTAACTGAAACAAAGGCTTTTTCCCAACACTGCCAGCACTCCAGAATGGTCTGCAAATTGAACTACCGAAAATAATAAAATATAGCTTCTATTAATATTTTCCTTATAATATACCAAACACATTATTCGGATGGATAAATAAGTTGGACTCAAAGTAGCCAAATAACTCAATATTTTTGGAAATAAAACATCACTTACAACTCTTGACGCAGATTTTTATAGTATCATTGGAGTACCGATTAAAATCCACCGTACTCTAAAGACATTAACTGAAGAGTACACTTTAAAAACTACCCAACATACTAAAACTTTTATTACAGCCACTTGCTTTGTTTTGTAAAAGAATAAACCTGCAATCACAACAGAAAGAACAACAAACTCCCAGAAAACCGTACCACCAGCTCTCGGTGCATAACGCACACTCTCCATTNCAAACGAGACATTATATTATATTATCCTATCTATTTCCGGATAGAAAGGAACTCAAAGCTCCGAAGAGGATCATCCCGTGATCCCTTAGTAAGCGGGGCACGAGAGAAAGAGGATGGCTTGTGATCCGTGCTCGGTTGACTTCGACGTGCAGTGGACACACGACCGATGCTAGAAACAACTCTGCTGCTTGTGCGGCCATCTGGGTCAACGGACGAGCTTGAAATGGCGGCAGCCCTCTTTGAAGAACTTCCATTTCGAGAAGTTCGGCCTCTTTCCGAGTCAAGTTGCTGCATTTATTTATGTAAACAAAAAAAATAATAAAAAAATAGGTGGTAAACAATAGCATGGTAATTACAAGCTTACACTTGATGATGGGGATAATGTATTCAAGAAATCAATTTAGAAGAAGTATTGGTAGCTTTTTATGTTTCCAATGATAAGTTGGAAGTTTAGTTATAAAAAATTCTATAGAGCCATCGGATGGTTTTCTTATGGAACCATCTACAACTTAATGTATTGACACCTGTCCAATTTGTATTTATTGAATGACACGTGTCAATACACTATTGGTGAATAAGTGTGGATGACTCCATAAGTCGAGTCATCCGATGACTCCATAGCAAAACTGGTGGGGGTGGGGTGGGGAGGATGGTGTAATTAATGGCTAAATTGAAATTTAGGTCCTATTAGATTATGAAGATAGCAATTTGGGTCCCACTGGAATGACATATAGCAATATAAGTTCTATGATTTAAAATTTTACTGCAATTTTAGTTTGACCGTTAAATTCCCAAATTTGATGGTCAAAAGCTGAAATTGCAACAAAATTTTAAATTACAAGACTTAAACTGCTAATCAAGTTTCATCCCAAATATATAAATTGGGAATTTTGACGGTGACTGAAATTACAGCAAAATTAAAAATTACCGGATTTAAAATGCTATAATATGTAACTCCAGTGTGACACATCGTTGCTACCTTCATAATCTATCTAATATGACGAAATTTGCAATTTAGCCTAAATTAATCTAAAGGAAATTATTTCATGTGAATCGGAAGTGTGCATGATTTTACGATCAACGTTTGCCAACGTCACGGATGGGGCAGAAGCCGCAAAAGTCATGAAAGAAAACAAAAGGTTCGAGGAATTCAAATACACGAAGACCATGCACAGAACATCATACCACATCCTTGGAAGAAGGCATATCTTCAGATGTCCTGTGTCTAGAATGTTCACCATGCCGACCAGAACTTGTTGCAGTGTTCCTTCTAGAGAAAGCTTCAACTGCACCTGAGAATCTATCCCGAATGTCGTGTCCCACTGAACAAAACAACCAAATCAAGGCCAAGCAAATAGAAAATTGTTACCAGCAAATTCAAATCAAGACAAACAAAATACATCGATTCACATAATTCAAATGCCAACAACCAACGGTTATCCAAATGCCTCTGATATATGAATATTTAAGACACTTTAAATTTTTTAACCATCATTATAAACTTTTCCCATATCTCAATACAGTAACATCATCATCCCACAGCATTCAACTTACAAGTTCAGAATGTTCCATACAGGATTCTTTTCATATGTCGAGAGGGCTGGAAACTAAAAATCAATTTGAAGACTGTCTAACAAAGGAACTGAATCTCAGTCTAATATCTCGTTAAGGAGAATACAGGTCTGTGGATCATTAAAATAGCTAATAAATTTTTTTAACAAAAATAACTTTTACATCCTCCTTTTTAGATACAATACAATGATGCATAACAAACATTCTGACAACTTTTATTATATTTCCTAAATTTAGATCCAATAAATTAAAATTCAATTTAAATATCTAACACACTTCACTGTCATGTACACAAACACCAGTTAAAATCAGCTTGGCGTTCATTGGTTGTAATACAGAATAGCATGACTATCAGCATCATAAGATGTCTACATTTTGGGAGTTCAAACTGGGCATAGGCTAATACCTGATGTTCTTCCATGTCTCTCACCAGAAGGTCCAGCAGCAGCATTACCAGAAGTTCCCGCAACAGCATTACCAGTGGGATTCTGAAAGCCAGTCAATCAACTATTAAATTCAGTTAAGAAAGAGTATACAAGCATAAATAAGAATATGCAATCAATTACCCTCTGTCGGGAACTTGAACCTATCTGAGGATACTTCAACATTGTCCAATCAAAGACATAGTCAAATTGGTAACCTGCATAAATGTTACAAAATTTGCACACTGAAAAACAAGATATTCAAAGACGACTAAACGAGCAAAGCACGTGCGTTCTCAATGAGAAAAATCCTAAAAACCTACAAAATTGGAAATCAGTACACATCACATTCGTATCTCTCATTACCTTCACGAATAAATAAGTCGCGGAAAAGCCTCTTCAAATAGGAATAATCTGGTTTGTCCTCAAATCTTAATGAACGGCAATAGTGAAAGTAAGATATGAACTCTGACGGATATGATTTGCACAGCACCTGTGACAGTTGTAGATAATGTGAACTTTCTGACAGAACAGCTAGTATATATGCAAACTAAAAGCTAATACAGGAAAAGCACACCATTATCCCGTTTTGTTCATTTCTGAAATATATAATCTATTTCCGTAATACTGCAGGAACTAGAATAATAATGTTCTACACCCTTTTTTAATGGTATACAATTGTCTAAAATTATATTTCATAGTATTTAAGTATTATCATTCCTTTCGAAAATTCTGCCGAGGCGGAGCAAAACAAATATTAGGACTAATCTAGACGAGAAAGTGAAACAGGGAGAGTAAAAAAAGGCAAGACTAGCTTTCATAACCGGATCAAACAAAATGAACAGGAAGGGAACTAGTATATTTAGGTTAAAGCAATAACTTGGGATTTTGGAACACAAACTAAAACACACACTACAAATACGGACACCCATACAGAAATGCAATGATGGCACTAAGAACCTCTATAGGAGTCAACATTTTCTTCTCACTGATCTTGTCATATTTCTGCTTTTTGGTGCCAGCTTTAAGTCCCTGCCAGGGAAGGCTAGAAAAGACAGATGAAAGAAGAAAGTAAGAAATCATGAGGTAAGGAAAGAGCAAGAAAACACAGAGGGTAGACATCAAAAAATATATGACGCACCTTCCTCTCAGAAAATACATTAGGACATAACCAAGAGACTCCAGATCATCCCTTCGGCTTTGTTCTGCAGGATAAGTAAACTAACAGATAATAAAGAATTACAATGAAATGCCCACAACTTCTGATTATATAGATTGTTTACCAACTCCAAGGTGTGTATTGACACTGGCATAGCGAGCAGTGCCAGTTAAATTCTTGTTTTCCCTGATGCAAATGTTAAAAATGGAATACTAGATAAGTGCATTGAAGGTGAAAATTAAAATAAATATATATATATATATACACCACAACTACATGGAATTTATATATATATATATATATACATACATACATATACACTACAACTACATTCCAACATTAAATTACTCCATGTTCTTTTACATCATCCAATAGCACTGAAAAGTCCGTATGGAGTTAAAGATGCATATCATCCTATGCTGCAGTAATATCTAGTCTGTTCAATATCTGACCAAAGCAAAATACGAACCTATACGGTATGTGCTTATGAGTCTGAAGATCTCTATACTTTTTGGCAAGACCAAAGTCAATTATGTAAACCTGCAATAAATAATGAAGTGTCACTATCCGAAACCTAAAAGAAAAAAAAAAGGAATAAATAAAATATCATGTGGCAGCTAATCTAAATAAGAAATGATAAAGATGTATGCCTGATTCGCTTTGCGCCCCAAGCCCATCAAAAAGTTATCAGGCTTTATATCACGATGAAGAAATCCTCTTGAGTGCATGTATTCAACTCTGTTAATCTAAAGTAAATCATAAACTTAGTCATTACCGGTGAAACTTATAGTTAATACAGTAACCCCAGATAAGGATATATTTCCAAATCACTTACTAGTTGGTCTGCAAGCATTAACACTGTTTTCAAGCTGAACTTCCTGTTACAATAGTTGAAGAGATCTTCCAGACTGGGACCTAGAAGGTCTATCACCATGACATTATATTCACCCTCAACTCCATACCACTTCAAGTTTGGAACACCCGCTATATGGTAAGAGAGAGCAACATAAGTTTAACTTTGTGAGCAATAAATTAATTTCCACTTCATTCTTCCAGAAGAAACTTTCTAAACAAACCATCAACTTAATCTCACATTTACATGCATTAAACAAATTCCAAACTCAGATAAAAAGAAGTAATTCGGACAGCAGTATATATATTACTATGAAATATGAATGCAGACATATTTGCCGCAAATATAAATTCCATAAGACCACATCCCCACACCTCATCGTGAAATAGCCTAGCAGGAGAACAGAAAATACTCGTCAAATATTCACTTGATGTTATATGCGTATAAGTGGCTTGCTGATTGATTGATTTATACATATGCGTATAAGTTTATTCAGCCTCCCCGACACACCCACCACACAAACACACAAAAAAGGCAAACGGGAAAAAGGAAAGAAATAACTGGACAAACAATGAACTATGAAGTTGCAAGAAAATGAAAAATATTTATAGTCATCCTTGTAACTCAGATAATCTAATCAAGTGTGTGGCAGCTTAGGAAGCACCGCATCCAACATATTTGATGTTTGATCTAATCATATGTATTTGTCTCTTTGGAATCGTCAAGATGGAGAATTATGTATATCTCTACAGAAATATGTGGGATAACAGACAAAAAAATAAAATAAAATAAAGTGGAAAAAAAGGAACTTACTCCCTCCTTGGAGAAGCATATAAATTTTCGACTCATAGTGAAGTTGAGGATGCTTAGTCTTCACAGATTCCTGGTAAATAGTAGCGGTACAAAAACAAACACATTCTGATCATTTGATTCAGAAATAACGTCAAAACATATCAACTTGTCCAAGTAAAAAGTAATAACTTACAATTTCTCAACACATGTAACCAAAATATTACATATTAAGTTAAGATATTCATAAAAATATATGACTAATTGGCATGGTCATGCGTCTATTTAGTTCAATAATTAGACTCAGAAATGATTGTAGCAGCTTGGACAGAGTTTGACGTAGTTAAAACCATTCAAAATGTACTTTTATCTTAATAAAAGCAGCTAGCACTCACTGTTAGACTTAAGTTGATAATCCCATTCATTTATTCTAGCACTCAAGAGCAGGTATGTGTTTGGATTTAAGTGGATAATCCTTTGAAACAATGCTGAAAACAATAAAATCATTTGGGCAGCTCCACGACTCTCAGTATTCCGTTGGCACGCATATAAACTTACATAAATGATTATAAAAATAGTGTAGAAAGATAACTCAAGCCATATTCGTATGCAGAAGTTACATCACAATAAACAAGCAAACACATTGTGCTAATAGGTAGAAATAAACAGACTTCCTACAAACTCACAAAACAACAACACGGTTTATTAATGAGTTGTTCAGTTTAAACTAAAATTACCAGCTTAATGGCAACCTCTTCTCCATTTTGGATGTTCACACCTACACCAATATAACGAACTTAACTTAAATTTTGAAGACATTGAGGAAACACAGTACTCTCAATAATCCAAAATATAGTGAAACAAACATGAAAGCAAAAGGGGGTACCTAGAAAAAGCTCGCCAAACGAGCCACAACCAATTTTCCTCCCAAGTTTATATTTTCCTCCCACGACATGATCCATTGCAATGGACTCGAGCAAAAACAAAAATCAAATATGCTCCTCAACTAAAAGAAGGTGCAAATTCAGCCTAATCCGAGACTTTAAAAATAACCCGTCTCGAGACTATAAATTTGCAGAGCCAACGTTATTGAATTCCCGAATACCTAATTTACACGGTGTGATCCAACAATTTAGCAAAGATAATTTATCAAGAAATCCAATCTCGCCCAAACAGCATCCTCAAACATAACGAGAAAATTCTAACCCGGTGCCCTAATTACTAACCCACGATCCCTTGCCACTGACCTCATCGAGCAAAACCCGAACACGACCGATCAAAATCGAACGCCGGCGATTCTACCTCTACCTGCGATTAACTGTTATTTTGTCTGATTAATGAAGGGGAGAAACAAAAGGTTGAAGATGATGACGGCGAAGAAAAAATGCAGACAAATGAGCGGAAATTGAGGGATTAGAGAGAGAGGTGTATGAGAGAGAAAGAGGGGGGTTAGAGAGAGAAAAGAGATGAAGCAAGACAATGGATTGTTTGTGTGTAAAAGGGTAAAAATGGGGTAAAGACTGGAAAATTGATGATTGTTGATTACAGATTATTATTATTATTATTATTATTATTATTATTATTATAAAATGGAGTAAGTGGTGGCTGTTGGAAAAACAAATGCAACTACTTTTTCTTTATTTCATTTTTTCTATTTTTAGTTATAATAAAATATATATATATAATATTTAAGTGAATACGGTCTTGTTACGGAACCATTCCGTCGGGTTTGTAACAATTAGATCATCATGTAACTGTCGGGGATAGTTGATCAAAACAGTTACAAACCCCGACGGAATGATTCCGTAACAAGACTGTAATATTTATCAATATTTAATAGGAAAGTTATTTTTAAATAAAAAAAAAATGTAAGTAGGGTTGTGTAAAAGATTATTAAAAAAAAAGTATGAAAAAAGGTGAAAAGAGAAAAGGTAAAAGGGAGAGTTATAAAACAGATTGAGTTAAATATAAGATTGTAATTAATATTGGATAAAAATATAATTACTAAATTTGATTTGATATAAAAATATTAAAATTTTGATTGATAAGATTTGTAATTAAAAAGATATGCAACAATAGATAATGTTTTTTGTTGCAATATAATAATCATTAGTTTTTTTAAGGCAAATTTGCCCCTAATATCACGACTTTTATTGAAGTTGCAATTTAATCATGATCATTTCACTTTTACAAATTATATCACAATCTTTAGTTTGTTGCAAACAGTCTGAAAATAGTCATAGAAAAATTGATGTGGTCGAACAACAAACTGAAGATTGTGATATAGTATGCACGAGATATGCAAATTTGTGCACCAATTTGCAACAAACTGAAGATTGTGATATAATTTGCAAAAGTAAAAAAAATCGTGATTAAATTGCAATTTCCAAAAAAGTCAAGATATTAAGGGCAATTTTGCCTTGTTTTAATTGTTTAATGTGATTGTAAATAACAATAAGATAAAATGATTATGTTTTTGTGAAATTTATTTTATTTAAAATTCAATTCAATAAATTTGATTGGACAAATAATATTATATTTTTATTAATATTATTTAAGTAAATATATAATATAAAATAATGCATTAACCAAATATGACTTATTAAAAGACTTGCCTAATTTAATATTGATCCATCCATAATCAATCTGATAATGTTTTATGAATCTATATATATATAATTGCGGGCTCATGAGCATTTAATAAAACCTATTAAATTATACCTATGTGGCAATATAACTTTTTCCCTCCAAAAACCGTTACTTTTTATTTATTTAATCTCTCATTTAATTATTAGATAATCAACACACTAATCACTTCAAAATTACAAAAATCATTCTAAAATTTTGATTGACCATATAATGTGTTGGCTATTTAACGTGATTAGATGTCATTGTTGTAGTTACATTTAAATTAACTTCTTTTGGAAAATAAAAAACGTATTTGAAATTATTAAATAAATAATTCAAAAAAATATACATACCAAAATATACATTACATCATGATAAACACAATTTAAAAAATAAATATTTCACAATACTTTATTTATATATGTGCATTTTGCACAGGTCGAATACTAGTTTGTATAAATTGCAACCTTTTCTTCTACTTCCCTCCCTTTTTCCACTTTCTTTCTCTTATTCAATTCTTCAACATAGACACACATGACTATTAGATTGATATACGTTTTTTTATAAACATACATATTTAGGATCCCATGCTTTGAAAAAAAAAAATATTTCAAATTCCTCTTATATATAATTTCATAACGGTTGAGTCTAAGTGGAAAGTTTGCACGCTTCTTAATCCTACATGTCAAAAAATTATGATTTGTGTAATTGTATTGAACACATAAGCAAGCTCGGATGCTAAAGTCACTTGACATCTAGGTTTGGATTTACCAAAAAAATAATTTTAATTCCTTATTTTCATTATTTGACATATTTCCCAATCCTTTATTATATCACATTATTCATTTACCTTTTTCTTCCCAAACTTTCATTATGATGCTCTTCATTCAATTACCTTTCATCAGAATCCATCAACTTCTTCAATAAAAACAATCGAATCATTGACGATAATATTTTTTAATGTGAATATATTATTTTTAAAATTGCAACTATAATATATTTATAATTTTTGTTTTTTTTTTTTGTAAAAAATATTTATTTTTGTAATAGATTTATTAATTAATTTCATTTCATGCATTGGAATAAAAAAATACAAAATATCTACAAGGGTAAATTAAAATAGATAATCTACATGGGATGTACTTATTTAAAAAATTATTAACAAAATATGATATTCTTTAAGCCATATATATTTGTTTCTTAATTTGATACCATGCAGTACATAGTTAATTATAAAACTATATATTAACCAAAAATCCAAAAAATAATCAAAATCTTCGTCTATAATGAGAAAAGGTCACTTGGTCTTATTTACTAATTGTCATGTTCTATTGCATTGGTGGGATATTAAAATATTTTATATAAGGGGAATAGAATCATTTAAATATTTTATTTTAATTTCCGCATTACTAAAGAAACTTGATTCCGAATTATTTTTCTATCTATCCATCATCATATATATAAAAATAACAAACATATTTAAATAAAAATTAAATTTATCCATCAGTCATTATTAAAAGTAATTTTACCTATGGATTCTGCTATGACAAATTGTATTGGAATCGGTATACATTTTTGTGATATATGCAAAAAAAATATTGTTATGTTTATATTATATGCTATGAGTGAGAAATATTATTAACGTTTTACATACCTTATATAACGCACAAACTAATGTGAATAAAAAAAAAAAAATATATATATATATATATTTTAATTTAATATCCTGTATTAGAATATTCACTTGTGACCCCATTTTCCTCATTTCTTTTCTTATATGGTATCAGAGCCGGTTCTATGTGGGACCGCATTTGTTTTTAACCCCGTTTCTTACATCCTGTGTAGTCAGGGGCGGATCTAGGAAAAAATTGTAGGAGGGGACAAACCGAATTGTGTTTGTTTAGCTACTGAAAATTTGATGTCATATAATTCATATATTTAAATGAGCCAAAATAGAATGACTATTCAACTTTCTTATTAAACAAATCGAGTAGATTGAAGTTTACACAAGTCGAGTTTGAGCTCATATTTTTATTTATTTATTATATGGTCGAGTTGATTTGACTCATTTATTAAACTATCACAAGCTTACACATGAGGTATTCAACTTGACTCGGCACGAATAACATTTCGAGGGAAAATATATAATTTATAATATCTCTCTCTCTCTCTCTCACACACACACACACACAATGGATAAAATAATTAATAACTTGCACTACAAAATACATAACTTCTTAATTTTGCTAATTTAAATGCTCAACATTCTTTACACTCACGAAACTCATTCATGAATTAAAAAATGATAAAAGCCTATATATGATCCATGTGCTCTTGATAAATGATACATCTCTTCAACAATTTTTTTTATCAAACTATCCAAGCTAGAGAGGATGAGTTAAGACATTTAAGAATGATGAATAAATACACACATTGATGCTAGTTCTAAACCCTAAATCTCTACTAAGGACAAATAAATTAAATTTTGAACATGAGTATAAATTAATGTACTCACAAATATAAGAAGATGATCAAATACTCAGAAGAATCAAGCAATTGTTGACGAATGATTGTTGCTGCGATTTTTTTTTTCTTTTTTTAGCTTGTCTGTGCAAATATGCTCTCTGCTATGGCTCTTGAGTTGAGGACATGAGGGGTGAGGCTATTTTTAAGTTAACTCAAATAGTTTGATTAGTTTTATTAATAAAAAAATAATAATATATTACATAAAAGGTGGAAGTTGGACTTTATGGGTTCTTTTAATATATCTCTAATGGGCCTTGATCCTAACCTACCTAATCAAAGTCAATATATCTTTATTTAAATGGTTAGGAGGGACAATAATAATTAAATATACTTAATCTAATATATTACATGTATACTTAAGTAAAAAAAAAAAAAGTTTGGGAGGACCATGGGGCCCCCCTAAGATATATGTACATCTGTCATTGTGTGTAGTACACGGGTATTGTGTTAGTCATAAATATGATTTTTATTTAATTTTATATTCTGTTGCTAGCAATTTTTTATCCAATTGTATGATTTTCATCCAAATGATGAACTAAACTTACAGAAACTAATCTTAACACGTTACAATTACAAATAACATCTAAATCCATATCAATATTGGAGTTTAAAAAGGAAATTCAACCCGTCATTGTACTATAGATTATTTTATATTTGCAAAGAAAATGAAACAAGAGTGGTGTGATTAAAGTCTAAAGAGCAAAGGTAAAAAAAGACCCCACTCACAAACGTGCGTACAATAATGTACTTGTTAATAACTTGATACAGTTCATTTTTATCTCTATCCTATGTATGGGGTCATTAGTTTAAGTTGTCACTATTGCATCAAATTGTCTTAAAAGGGATTCTTGATTTTCCTTTTCTTTATTTTGTTTTTATAAGTTCTCCCGCGTAGACATGACCAAAATCGATTTCGGGTCGGAACCGTCGTTTTGGGCCAAGGGTTGGACGGTCCTGAATTGGCCCGAATATATGAACGGACCGGTTCAATAAACCGACAGTTCTGGGTCAGTTCGATGAATCGCTAGTTTTGGGCCAACTTAGTTCACTAAAAAAAGAGAGAGCATAATCACCAGTTTTGATTCGGCAGCTCAAAAAGTACATACCCGAAACCGACTTAGTCAAACTACGAGCTCGATTTAAGGTCCATTGACCACGGACCGATACAAGGCCTGTAATCGAAGAGTTTGAAAACTTATTACTCTTGTCATAAAAAGCGTTTCACTCCACTTAAATACCCAATCGAAATATGGGCCAAACTAAGATTATTTCATTTAGCCAACAAACCCATTTGATTTCTAATGAACACAGAGAGAGAGAAAAAAAAAATATAATAGTCAGCCTATTTAGGCAACAAGCCCATTTTGATTCTTATGTACAGTCTGCTAATAAGTCTCAACNTTTTAAACAGAAAAAAAAAAAAAGAACAAAAAAATATCATAACCAACATTAAATGTTAGCAATTAGAAGAGAGGAAGAAAAACAAAAGCAAATTTCTGTAACAAATTTTGGTATTTATTGATCCGCCGTCTCAGATGTTTCCGACTCGTCCTCTGTTAAAAAAAATTAAACACAGAAAATAAGATGATATTCAACTTGAAGATCATAAAGGAGCTTAAAACTCAAAAGGACAATTATAGGACTGCTCCAGGTATGTAAAGCGTGCTAATAGCAAGTATTGTTTACAGGCTAAGTAATATATTATAGAGAACCTTTATTAGATAATCTTACAAAGAGAGCACGTTACATCAAGTGGTAAGCCATGAACCTTCAAATTACTTCCTATATATCTTTCCAGTTCATATCATCAAGAAAACTATTAATTGCACATTTCGCGTATTTTTCAAGTTAAATGCAACTAAAAATCTGTATGGGTTTATGAACCAACCAATCACATTCCATTCCGTAACCCTTCTTCAGAAGAACTTGGGGAGCAATTTAATCAGGTGTACCAACAGTTGAATAAGCCTGCAGTTGCACCAAGAGATAAGAAAATCCAGAAAAAAATAAGGAAATAAATACAAATTAAAGAGAAAGATGAATATCCCAGAGTGGTTACAGCCAGTGACTTCTGACTTCATATCACAATATTATACTACCAGCGTAAATCACATGGCATTCAGACAGCCCTTATTTATTCTCACATGTTTTATTAACTAAATATTTTGTCTTTACACGCGTGGAAAAACGGTGACAGTAACAGGGATGGGTGAGGATAAGACCTCCACCGAAGGTCAAAGCACTTGGATAGGGATGGGTGAGGATAAGACTTCCACCAAAGTTTGTATATTAGTTTTAGATTAGATATATTAATCGACGGTTTTAATAAATTTTGTTTTGTAGTATAGATACATTTGTAACAAGACTGACAGCTCATTATTGCCTCGAGAGTCGAGATACATAATTTGAGGCCATCAATATATATATAATAATAATTTTTTCTATTTGTACCTCTCTATATATACATACACGCGGGCTTTGTGTTTGTGCATATGTACTTCTTCTTGTCTCTCCTATTTCCTTTTCTCCATTAGCAAGCTGCCATTCCATCCCTGTAACTTTTTTGTAGGATACGATGTTTTTTTGGATATATAATTTGGTATTAAAATGGATTTGATTTGACTGATATAGGCATTGTTTTGTTTGTTAGGCAAGGCAACGCATATATGGGTGGTGCTTCAGAATCAGACCTGTCGGTGATATTGCCCCGCGTTCTAATAGTCTCGAGGCGATGTGTTCGCAAGAACAAATTTGTTGATTTTGTAGGTAAGAATAAACAGTTTGAAATTGGATTGTTGTTTGGGATTCATTAATATTGGTTAATGATTAGGCGAATACCACCTGGATCTGATCGTGAAGTACGGCGCTGTCCCGGTAATAGTCCCGCGCGTAAGCGGCGTCCACGCCCTGGTGGACAGCTTCGGCCCCATCCACGGAGTCCTCCTATGCGAGGGAGAGGACATCGACCCATCCCTCTATAGTTCCCCAGATGGCAGCCTCAGCCTCTCCCCAGAGGACTTGGACGAGATCCGTCGCATCCACGCCTCGGACACTGCCCTTGACCGCGAGAAGGATGCCATAGAGCTCGCCCTTGCGAAGCTCTGCCTCGAGCGTAACATCCCGTATCTGGGCATCTGCCGCGGCTCCCAGCTCCTGAACGTGGCGTGTGGGGGTTCCCTTTACCAGGACGTGGACAAGGAGTTGGCCCCAGATGAGAGGGTGGCCCACATCGACTACCAAAACTACGACGCCCACAGACACCGGGTACGCCTCGTCCCCCACACCCCACTGCACCAGTGGTTTGGGATGGAGGAGGAGATATGGGTCAACAGCTATCATCATCAGGGGGTGAGGAGGCTGGAACACAGGTTCGTGCCCATGGCCTTTGCACCCGATGGACTGGTGGAGGCCTTTTACGACCCGGACGCTTACTGTCCGCAGGAGGGCAAGTTCATCATGGGCCTTCAGTTCCATCCCGAGAGGATGAGGCGGGGGCAGGGACAGGGCTCCAATTCTGAGGACTTTGACTACCCGGGTTGCCCTTTTGCGTATAAGGTACCTACCTACCTACCTACCTACCTATATTATGTTAATTAAGGACGATATTACAATATTTACGTACGTTTGTTTGTTTCTCGATGAATGCAGGAGTTTGTCAATGCAGTAATTGCCTATCACAAAAGGCTTAATAATACCTCCACCTTTACTCTTACTAGTGTGCCCAACTCTATAAGGCTTGATGAGGAAATGGAGAAGAAGAGAAAGGTTATCGTCAAGAGCTTTTCGCTTGCACGAAATATTTATCAACGTCCCCGCACAATCACTTCCTCTAAGCAATCTCAACTTGAGGCTGGGGCAGAGTTTCTTGAGGTATCACAAATTATTTGAGAATTCATGCTCTTTGTTACTTACATTTACAGAAATGAAAATGTTGATATACTATATGATCGAATTGTCTCGATTGGTTCACTTGCAGTCAAATACAGCTCTGAGCCTGCAACAAGAAACCAGACTAAAGCAAATGGGAGCTACTGTAAGGAACGCATCTTCCTACTTGGAAAGGTTGAAAGTAAAGGAGGGAAGGGAGAAATTAGCAAGAAAAGTGATGGGGAATATGACGGTTGAGCAACTATCGGATCTCATGTCTTTTTACAACATGATGGGCCAGATATGTTCTGAGGTCTTAGATCGAAAACTTCATGACATAGTCAATGAGCTCACACCTTGATGTGCAAGTGTCTGTGGTCGTTGTGGATGTATTTTCTTCACATTAATTTTATATTGGTAGACGATCACAAGGAAGAAGGTTTGCAATAAGTTTCTGTGATAAATCAAATGTATAGGAACCAATTGGGATGACTAATTTATATTAAGGATTTTTAATATACTTCTTTATTACCAACTAGTGAGCAACCCGTGCGATGCACGGTGAGGCTTGTTCCTCAAAACCTATTTAAAACTTTATTTTTAAATATAATTACTAAAGTTTAAACATTTTATTTTGGCAAGAAAATAGATACGGAGTATGAAAAATCATATATTGTTGAACAGTTCCCTATACACAATATTTTTTATTTGAATATGTGGCAAACTTTCTTGTCAACAAATTAAAATTTTCATACAATTGTGTTAAAAAAATTAAATTATAATATATTATTTATAGTGTAAGAAATCGTAATATATTATTTTTAGTGTGATAAAATGTTTTGGGATAACTATGACCATTTGAAAAAATATTTAATAGTAATCTTAAAACTTTAATAAATTTAAAAAGATAAATATGACCATTTGAAGAAATATTTATTTGTAATCTTAAAATTTTAAATTTTGATAAATGATTGTATATATGCGCCAAGTTTTTAGGAACCAATCTATCATATAATATAAATTCTTATATGATTTCCAGAGTCTTACGAACGTGACATGAACTTCATTTTTTAATTTCAAATTTAAACAAATCAAAAGACAAATTATTAGGTAGTTATGAAAAAAAGTATCCAACAAACTATTTTATAATTTCAAATTTAACAAATTAGAAGACAATTATTAGGTAGTTATGAAAATAGTCTCCAACAAACTTCAAATTAAACGACACACAACCATCAGATCTAGAGTTGGTTGCAGTCGGTGATCACCACCCTTCTCGAGGTCCGGTGGCTCCCCGACCCGACATTCTCCACCGCCTTCAATATGTCGTACTCCTCCACCACTTGCCCGAACACCACGTGCTTGTTGTCAAGCCACTTCGTCCTTGTCGTGCAGATGAAAAAGTATGTGTCATTTGTCCCCGGAACAGCCTTCGCCATTGACAGGTCCCGGTGTGCTTTCTCATGATGTTCTCGTCGGTAAACTTGGCGTCGTAGATCGACTTGCCCTCGTTACCCGCAGTGAAGTCACTGCTCTGACAAATGAAATTGGGGATTATACGATGGAAGGATGACCCTTTGTGTGGAGGGGCTTGCCAGATTTGCCGACGTCCTTCTCGTTGGTGCATAGGGCACAAAAGTTCTCATCGGTCTTCGTGACGACATCGGCGAAGAGCTCCATCACGATTCAACGGCGGGGCTGCTGATCGTTATGTCGAAGTAAACCCTAGGATTCGATAGGTTGATTTGAATTTTTTATTTAGGAGTTTTTTGTGATTTTTTTTTTATTTGTGACTAACTGATTTTTTTTTTGTCTCAAACTTAGGGTTTTGTAATTGGGTGGGGAGGGGTTTATATAAGGGATCGATTGAGTGCAAACTTTAAAAAGATGGATTCTTTCTAAACTTTAAGAAGATATTGTAGTTAGATAAATATGGAGAAAAAAGTATTTACCAGGAATTCACATAATATGAGATTCTTTCCAAACTTTAAAAAGATTTTGTAGTTTAATAGATATGGACAAAAAAATATCCATAGATAGAGATTTACCCAGATTTTCAAACCTTTTTTTGTATATATATATAAATCAATTTGTGCTTTGGGTGGGAATTTACGGTTTTTTTTAATAAATTCATTATCAGTAAAAACGAAAATTTAGGCGGGATTTTACATACTATTCACAGCTAAATGTTTTGCCTTTTTATATATTCATAGATATATATTTAAGTTGTGAATTTTTTAATATTATATGATTATATGGCTAAAAATATGTTAGTTTCAATCAAATAAGTCATATATTATTTCAGTTAAAGAATATAAACCACCAAAAAATAGAAAGTAGTTAGGATATATGTCATAAAATAATGTAATTTATTATTTTTAAGAATAACAAATCAATATATTTACACACAAAATTCATAAATATAAATAATTTATGGATTAGTATAACATCCATTATTCTCGGAACAACTTTTTGTTTGATTTGCAACATTAATTTGAATGAAAAAAATCCGTAATTGTGGGAATATCTTGATTCAAAATCTCAATTTTTTTGGCATAAGAATCTCCAAATTTGTTACCAATAAAAATGAGATTCGTATTGATGAAATGAATTAAAGTGTGGCATAAGAATCTCCAAATTTGTTACCTTAAGAATCTCCAATTTTTATGGGATATCTCATAAAATTTGATTCCTAAAGAAAATAAGTTATTTCAATCAAATAATTCATATATTATTTCAATTAAAGAATATAAACCACCAAAAAATAGAGAGGATGTTAGGATTTAGGTCATAAAATAATGTAATTTATTATTATCTAAGAAAACCAATCAATATATTTACACATAAAATTCATAAATATAAATAATTTATGGAGAATTGGAGTTTATCAATATTTAGTATAATATCCATTATTCTCGGAACAATTTGTTGTTTGATTTGCAACATTAATTTGAATGGAAGAAAAATCCATAATTGTTGGGATATCTCAATTCAAAATTTCAATTTTTGCCATAAAAATCTCCAAATTTGTTACCTATAAAAATGAGATTCGTATTTATGAAATGAATTAAATTTTGGCATAAAAATCTCCAAATTTGTTACCTTAAGAATCTCAAATTTTTTTGGGATATCTCACTTAAATTTATTTCCTATAGAAAATAAGTTGTTTTAATCAAATAAGTCAAATATTATTTCAATTAAAGAATATAAACCACCAAAAAATAGAAAAGAAGTTAGGATTTAGGTCCTATAATAATGTAATTTAGTATTATTTAGGAAAAAAAATCAATATATTTACACACAAAACTCATAAATATAAATAATTTATAGAGGATTGGAGTTTATCAATATTTAATACAACATCCATTATTCTCGGAACAATTTTTTGTTTGATTTGATACATTAATTTGAATGGAAAAAAAATTTCGTAATTGTTGTGATATCTCAATTCAAAATTTCAATTTTTTGGCATAAGAATCTCCAAATTTGTTACCAATAAAAATGAGATTCGTATTTTTAAATGAATTAAATTTTGGCATAAGAATCTCCAAATTTGTTACCTTAATAATCTCCAAATTTGTTACCTTAATAATCTCCACATTTTTTGGGATATCTCCCTTAAATTTGATTTCTAAAGATTCACATGTGCTTTTTTCAAAATTTCTACTAATAGTAAGTCAACACTTTATTTTTAAAGTCAAAGTTACTATTTTTGTATTTTTCCAACAACCTCTTTATATTACTATAGATTTTTATTTAATAAATGAACCTTTTCAAATTTCAAGTGAGCTTCACTACCATATCAATATTATTTTGAGGCAAATTTACTATTATATTTGAAGAGTTGCGCAGTTGTGAAAACTGGTCCGCTGCCGTGTGAATCCACCAGAAAAAATTGAAACCATCCAAATCCCGATCAACTAACTCATCTTTATCGACTTCAGTTTACACCAAAAGTAAATTCAAAGTTAGAAGATATTCCAACAACATATTAGAGAAAACATCGTTCTTCCCCACCAAGGCTATGATATTCTATCCTTTCTGCAACGCCATCGAGCCAGAGGTTGCAGGCTCAACTACACTGAGATCTGATATGCTTGATGGTCAGAAGAGCACTGACAAAAGCCCTCTAAAGAAGACCCGCACTGCAACACCGTAACGCAAAACGTTACTAAAAACATGCTGCTTTTGAAACTTTTGTTGTTGTAGATAAACCTTTCGCTTTGCTTTCACCGTACAATACCAGAATTATGCAACATCAACCAGCAGCGATTAGATGTTTCAGAATTCTGATTTTTAGTAGGGTTATGTATAACGTATAACCGTTACTGCAACTCCTTTTGCCACACTGATGAAACAATATCAGTAGTCGTAATCTCTATAAACGAACTTATCAGCTATAAGTTATAACCTTTAAGTTATAAGCTCGAAAATCACTTATAAACTATAAACTAGCTTATAAGCTAATTTACCAAACATACTTAAACGTTAGAAGAAGATTTCGGAGAGTTGTAAACTTAAAACTCTTGTCATAAAAATCGTTTCACTCCACTTAAATACCCAATCGAAATATGAGCCAAACTAAGATTATTGCATTTAGCCAACAACCTCATTTTAGGTCTAGCCCACTGCAATGAACAGATAGAGGAAAAAAAAAACATATATATAGTCACCCTATTTAGGCAACAAGCCCATTTGATTCTCATGTACAGTCTCAAAAGACTCAACCAAAAAAAAAATGGAACTTTATCTTTATGTGCACCATCCACATAACATTGTGAGGTTTTAAACAGGTTGAAAAAAAAAAAAGAACAAAAAAATATTATAACCAACATATTTATATGCTAATCAGCACCTCTCAGTAAATGTTAGCAATTAGAAGAGAGGAAGAAAAACAAAAGCAAATTTCTGTAACATATTTTGGTATTTATTGATCCACTGTCTCAGATGTTTCCGACTCGTCCTCTGTTAAAAAAAAAAAAATAAATAAATAAATAAACGCAGAAAATAAGATGATAGTCAACTTGAAGATCATAAAGGAGCTTAAAACTCAAAAGGACATAATTATAAGACTGCTCCAGGTATGTAAAGTGTGCTAATACCAAGAAGTAATATCTTTTAGAGAACCTTTTATTAGATGATCTTATAAAGATACCAATTAATCGAGAGCTTGTTTACATCAAGTGGTAAGCCATGAATCTTAAATTGCTTCCGCTATATCTTTCCATTTCATATCATCCAGAAAACAATTAATTGCACATTTCGCGTATTGTGGATGCTTGAAAAAATTTAACAGTAGATATACACATTACCAAAAAGTGCTTTGATTGTCGGCCTCTTTGACTTGGTGTTTTTCTTCTTTAGCTCAGCTGTAAAGAAAAAACAATCACAAAACCAAACGTAGTCAAAACAAGAGTAGTAGAACCAGGCATAGGATGGCTGGCTTTAAATGAGAGAGAGAGAGAGTGAGAGACCCATTCCAGGAACTTGGTAGTCATTCACAATTTCAAAGTTCTTGTATGTGTAACCGACAAAGTTAATGTCTTTGGATGAAAGCATCTGGAAATTACGGGAAAAAAGCTTGAGAGTGTCGAACAGAGAGAAAAAACGTGGAAAATATGCAAATTACAAAGTTTAACCACCAAGAGTGTACCTTTCTCCACGGACCCGATCTTGACGAAGTTAGATTGTGGTTTTCAGACTGCAATATGAAACAAATGTCATTAAGTTAGCAAGAATTCTCACACAACCCATCATCTAACAAGATCTCAAAGGCATCAATTACCTCTTCGAATTTCTCGAAATTTTGGGTGTCCAACTCATCGTTAACCTCTGGAATAAATGCAGCTTCCATATGGTATATGTTTTCCCAGTCAATCCCATCAAACCAAGGATGGGCCTAAACAAACAGATAGTTTTACTTATCTTCTGATAACTCGAGTAAGTTATGAAATAAAAATAAGCATTAGAACACAAAACACACCTTTATTTCATTCGCCCCTTTTGAACCAAGCCTCTGATGGACACTACAAAGTAGTTTGCTAATTAGATCTTTTGCTTCCAAAGAAAGTTTAGCTTCCTCGGGAAACTTTAAGTGTGTTCTCCAGTTCACAATCTACATACAGGAACAAGAACCACAGTAATAGTTTCAAAATTGTTAGTTCTTCATTAATACATATCATTATAGTGCATCCAACTGTGTAGGGTAGGAAGGTACAAGTAGTAAAACATAATAACCACGTCGACTAATTAGACATGGTGAATGAACTAAAAAAGCTAGAAGATAAAGGGATATATCATTATATCTGTCTCGATAACAGAAGGAAACAAAAAAAAAAAAACAGTGTTTTAATCCTGTCCAACTGCACATCCAACAGCAGAACATGAAGGAAGAGGTGGGGAAAATATTTGCTTGAGCTATCTTGCACTGACACTCACGCAAAAGAGCAAGACTGTGCCGTGCAATTACCGAACACTATAAAAAAGCAGAAAATTACAATCAATTTTTTATGAAGCACCAAAAGAATCCGTATCTCACCTTCCTACATGTTGACATAGGATCATCAGAATAGAAGGGTGGATATCCAACAAGCATCTCAAACATGATGGCACCAAGGGACCACCTGCACAGCAGAAACCTCATTTTCCAGAATTGCTGACAAATACAAACTTAACCACCACCTTAATCCAAAACCAACATTTTTTTTTTCAAGTTAAATAAAATCAAAAGCCTTATGGGTTTGAACCAACCAATCACATTCCATTCCATAACCCTTCTTCAGAAGAACTTCTGGAGCAATATAATCAGGTGTACCAACAGTTGAGTAAGCCTGCACCAACAAAATGCGAGATAAGAAATCCAGAAAAAATAAGGAAATAAATACAAAAGAAAACAGTGACTTTCCCAGAGTGGTTAAGATTCATCACTACTACATTTGAACATAAGCAACGATTCAGAGAGCACAGCTATCCAACTAAGATGTGTTACAGCCAGTGACTTCTGACTTCATATCACGGTATTATACTACCAGCGTAAATCACATGGGCATTCAGCAAACTTACGAGTGTTCTTCGATTTTTCTGCCAGTGCTGTAGTTGCTCTTGCTGTGTACGTTTTGGAACCGAGCCATCCTCACTTCTTGAAGTTTCATTATGGTTATCTCCGACTGAAAAGTCTTCTTGTATTGTACTACAGTCTAGAGGCTTGCACAGGCCAAAATCCGATAGTCGTAAATGACCATGTCTATCAAGCAGCAAGTTGTCAGGTTTAATGTCTCTGTACCAAATCACATGCAAAAAATTTAGACAGAAAGTTGGAAATAATACAATGCTTAGTTGAAACGCATAGTTCAGCAAGTTTAAGTGAAATCGCATTTAACCATCAATACACAGACCTATGTATGTAGTTATGCTTATGGATAGATTCAATAGCCAAAACTGTCTCGGCTATGTAGAATCGGGCCTCATATTCTGTCAACGTGTCTTTCCTCATTAATAAAGTCATTACATCCCCACCCGGAAGATATTCCATGACAAGATACAAATACTCATCATCTTGAAAGGAGCAATATAATTTGACTATGCAATTACTATCAACCTCCGCAAGGAGATTCCTCTCAGCCTTCACGTGTTCAACCTTTAAAAAAGAAAAGGGGGGAAAGAAAGAGATCCAATTACAACATTTACATGGTGAAGCTCAATCATATCAGAATCATTTAAAGAGAAATAGTTAAGTACCTGGCCTCGACGAAGCATTTCTGATTTCTTGAGCTTTTTCATTGCATACACTGAACCTGTTGTCCTTTCTCTACAAACTCTAACCTGTCCAACAGATAACCAATCGTCGGAGAAGATAACTATTCCTTTTCACTTGGATGACCCAGGTTGAAGGCATATACAACTCGGCTACTAATTTATCATACAAAGCAACGAAAGCAACATTTACCTCTCCAAAAGCACCCTTCCCAATCATTGTCAGTAACTCGAAATCATCAGCTCCCATTTTGTGCCTCTGAAGGCGCATATATTCAGTTTCCTTCTTCTCTAGAAACTTTAATAGGTTATTTTGGTCTTCCTCAGACACATCAGCATCAGCTAGCTTCCTCTCAAGCAAACTTCGCCTGTCAACACACATTGGTGATGGTGATAGTCATTAATAGAGAGGCACCTTTCTTTTGCAACAAACAATCAAAATCTACGATTTAATGTTCGCATGCGATGCACTCAGGATGAAAATTTGAAATGGCAACCCTAAGCCTGACCCCTGGGCTGGGCAATCCAGCTTAAGAATAGGGGTGGCCTGGCACATAATAAAAATTCAAAATACACAGATGTCAAAAGTGGAACCATCTCGTATCATCCATCCAAATTGCTATCAAACTCCATGCATAAGGGCATATAAAATGAGTATATGAAGCATACCAAATGAATGGGATTAGAGATAATCACAAAAGTTCCTCTGAGGTTTAATCCAACTGCATAAACGTACTTCGTCTTACAAGATCACAGATATGCCCTTACAAGTGGTAATAAACATCCCCTCAAGGTTTACGTCTACCTAATATATATCCCCCAATAGAGATGTAACTTGTAAAAGAGAAACCAATATCCAGAAGCTACGCGTAAGTCCAAAAGACAACAAGATTTCGAGGTTTTCAGCCAAACCCCAGTGTCTTCCTCATGAAAATCCTCTAGGTCAACAAAAAACCAAATCACTATGTTCTAAATTTGAACAAACGCGGGCATGAAAATGTCAAACAACACAAACAATAACAAATAACAACCCATCAAAACCACAACATTCGCCCTCAACGGAATTAAGATACAAAACAACAACAGACGAGTTAAAATGGCGCACTGGCACCATACCTCTCTCTCCTCTCCTGAAGATTCCTCATCTGCTCCTTGTAATGATTCTCGATGTACTGTTTTGCGGCAGCAACTCTCTGCTTCGTGAGGTTCGAAGCTTCCTCGGCCGATAGCTCTTCCTCAGGTTCTTCACGTCCGCTGCCCATTGAGTCCTTCCTCCTCGTGGATGACCTAAGCCGATCTCGTGGCTGGAATTTTTGGAACCAACTCTTTGCTGAATCCATTGGGTTCAGTTCTCCCTCAGGTAGAGAAGCGCTTCCTGACCATGGCTCTCATTATGATCTGGCAACATTCATCTCATTTCTCCCCAACCTGGCGAAAACGGAGAACATAAATTTCACTTGTATCTGAGAAGATTAGTGAGGCTGAACACCAGAAACGTAGAAGGAATCACGTTGAACGGGCGGACAAAAACAAATTTAAAAATCAAATCTTACACGCTGCTCAAGCAACATAAACACCTGGGCTCAATGACAGGCAAATGTAATTCAAAACACAGAGTTCATCAGGACAGAAAAAACGTGAATCAATTTTACCAACAAACGAAACAAAAATGCATTTCCCCATTCCAATTAAAAGAAAAAATGCGACTCGAAACACACACAGATCAAAATTTCATCAGCACAGAAAAACCGTGAATAAATTTTACCAACAAATGAAACAAGAAATGCATTTCTGTATTCAAATTAAAAAATAAAAAAATAATACATAATCAGAAAATAACAACAAAATCGTAACTTCAATTAATTCAGCTATCAATACCTCTTATGAATTGCAGAAAACTCAGTATTTCACTCTATTACAACTTTCAGGAGAAAAGGGAGAATTAAAAAATGCAATCCAATAAGAATGCAGATCAATAGGCAGAAAAATCGGCTTACCGCCAAATCTCAAGATAACGGGACAGAGAGAGAGCCGATCAGCGAAATACAACCGCGCACGTATATATATACAAACGGTTGAATATAGAATTGGAGCTTTGGCAAATTAGATCTCCGAATAACTGTATAAAAATGGCGAAAGATGATTTTATATAAATGGATCAGATATAAATAAAACTATTAATATTAATCCGCCATTTTCGCAGGTGTGGAGAAGAAACTGAGGTAACCTTCGCATGATCTAACGTTTTCTCCACTATTTATAACTTGTCATTGTTCACAGATATTCAATTCTCCACATTAAATGCTTACTCACCCTACTTTGGAATAAAATGTTGGCCACTATTTAATTGATGTAGATTATATACCTATAAAGGCTAAAATAGCTCATTCTAAAACACTAGTCAAAAGAATCAGCCGAATCGTGTAATTAGGCGTTGTTTGTTGCTATTTTTTACTGAGCTTTCAGTTATATTTTGTTAAATTATTTTGGTTAATTGGAGTTAATTTTGAGAAAAGTAGTATGGTTGTTGTTAGTGAGATTTTAAGAATGTATTAAAAGTAAGAGATAAATGATTGGAAATGGTAAGTAGTTAAAATTATGTGAGTTGATGAATAGTGAATTAAAATTGATGGGATGTGTAAGAATGAATTATTTGCATTATTTAATTATATGAATAATATTAATGATAGCGGGGTTGAGTTAAAATTAAGTTAAATTTTGAGTATGAATTAAATGTGAGTAAATTATTTGATAAACAAGCATGCTCTTTTAGTTTTCACTAGTAATTAACCTGTGCATTTGCACAGAGAAGAGTATTTTAAAAAGATAACAATATAAAAAGAAATAAAAATAAATCACAATTTAATTCATGAAAAAATATGAATTAAGAAAATAATTCTCAAAATTGATTTTGATCAAGTAATTGCTATGGAAGAGCCGTTAAAACCATTTTCTTTATGCTAATACATCCGGTCAATTTCATGAGTGGGTGTGACTTAAAATTTGAGTACAATTTTATAACTCTTTGATTGGTTTATGCTCATAATTTATGACATTCAAGCAAGTTATTTTGTAACTTAAAAATAAAATTGAATGTTGAAAATTTTGGAGGGATAATAAAATTTAATGCATGATAATATAATTAAATGTTATGTTGTTCCTCTTTATATATATAGATATATTTTTCAATTCCGGACGACTATGCAGTATGCACAAAGCAAACTCAAATTTATTGAAAAATAAAAAAACCAAGCCACATAGTGCAATGTTCTACGGTTCGATTTATTTATTGCGTAGAAATTCTTGAGTTCGTTTTTTTTTTTCTTTTTTTTTTATTTTTTTTTTGTGTATTGTTGTACATTTTACTTTGAATATTTCACAATTTGATTTTACAGTTTTGCAATTCATTGTGGTTTTGCATTAAATTGCTCACCTCTATTCAAAATTTTATGTGATTTTAGAAATAAAATGTTGGTTATCACTGATATACAAATATGCTTTATAAAATGCGGAAAATAGTTTATTCAAAAAAGTCTATACGTGATGTTTGAAGCTGAACGGTCGATATTTTACTCCTTCGAGTCCATGGACCTCAAAATGAAATTCAATTTAGAACTGTTCATGATCTTCCAAAAAAGGTTCATATTTAGGCAATCAATAATGATTGTTTAGGCTATGAACGAAGGTACATATATATTATACAAAAATGACAACATAATAATTACACTTAAATGAAAACATATTTAATTTTCTTAATTCCGTGTGGAAAATTATAAATTGTCCATACCTCTTGAATGCATATTTTTACTTAAATTAACGTGAAATTATTGTTTTTGGGGTCAAATAGTTTGAAGTTTTGTTTAAATTAATAATCTTATTAAACTAAACTTTAAATCTTCTATGTTTGAACTTTGAAAAAATGAATTCAATTTTTATTGCACGTCGGTAGCATAATGAAATCGACTTATATCTTGATGAGACATACAGCTTAACCAATCGACACAAATCAGGTTCATACACGAAATCATATGATTTAAACATAATTAAGGCTTGACCAAATGATATAAATAGAGTTCATATAGTCAGCTTGTATGTTATTATTAATGATTATTCTTTTAGAGCTCATTTACTAAAAGTCTAAACATTGGATATAATTTTGGTGGATTTCATTAAATTTTGTTTGTCTATTTGCACTAATAATTGTGCATAACACATAATAGAGATAGTAATAAGTTTATTTTACGGAAAGGAGTTGGATAATTTGATTATTTTGAGTCAATATATGAAATTATTTACTTATCTTTAAAAGTTGCAATCATCTTGGATATTTTGTTTTATATATCACATAATGAAGATAAAGAAATACTAAGACTTAATTAAATTACTAATTCAAAAAATGATTTCATACTACCACGTAAACATGTAGTGTCAAGCCTACAAAATCCACTAGAGTATCCCATCCCAGCAATAAAGTAATCAATCAAGCCCTAATATTTTAAAACTAAAATATTTGTTTTTATTAATATTTAATATTATGAAAGGTCATATTAATAGTCTCGGCCAGTAACACTAACAGTCTGAAAATATACATGAGTTCATGTAATTACTTTTATTACATAAATAAAATGGTTATAAATAACAGTTCTTACGCGATAAGCAGTTTTTGTTTTTTCCGATATAATTTGATTTAATGTGATACCCTTAAAAATAAATAACACCAAAACAAATGTTAAGAAATAGCAACTGCGTAGTCTAATATTGGCTGAGACTTCAACATCTGTTTGGTCAAATTTTCATTACAGAAGAAGCCTTTAGTTGTGCTTTGACAAAGCATCGCTAGAAGTAGAAGAACACCATTGCTTGTCAATCTTATTTGATTTGCATGTTTTGGTTGATAATTTTACAGAAATCAATTTATTTATGCATGAAAAACATCCGTACTCTTAAGTTTTATTATTCAAAGAAATTATGATTTATCGTGGAAAAAAATAAAAATAAATAATTGAGAATAAGTTTATAAAAATAATCCCTAAAGGTTGCTGCAAGTGGTTCTACATACATGTCTTGGAGTAGGGGAAATATATATATATCTATTCAAATGTGTTTCGCAAGAAAAGGTGATACTTTTATGTTGATGTTGCTAGCAATCAATCTCACTCGCCACCTACAAATTTGTGATATTTTGTGGCTTTATAATTGTTTATACCATTACACTAAAACCGACTCCTAAGTCCTAACAGATAAAAACCATAATAAAACAACACCATATATGGTGTGGTTATAAAAGAACACATCCACAATTACAAAACACGGTTTTAGAGACAAATGATACATTGAACACAACACGACAAAGCATAATACAAAACACGACATGCATAGCAGTAAATAAGAAAATAGTTAAATTCAGATAATTATTGTCATACCTATGCTAAAATAAAATAGATAAAACGAAAACACGGTGATGAAACACAAACACAGACACTGAAGCAATATTAGCATAAGTTAAGGCTCACATGTTAGAAAATTCAAGACTCAAAACAACAAAATGTTAAGATAGGTTGTAAGAGAAGTGACCCAAGTTAGATTCTTGAATCTTGAGATCACCACCGGCAAAGTTGTAACTAATTCAACATATTCTTATTTATAGAGAACCCATGATAATTTAATTCGTACAATCTTGCAAATATACTGCAGAATTCTAGGGATGTAAGGGGTGCATCAATGACTTGCTATGGCATTGAATTATTTAATGTTTATAATAACCTCCTAATGCCCTTCAATCTTGGAAAACAAATAGAAAACACTTGCAGCAGATACAATTATACAAATTACAAATGATGATGTTTCGCTATATATACCACCATAAACAGATGGATGCCTCAAAACAGCAATATAAATAAAAAATCAACAACGAATTGAGGTTGAATGTTGATCAAATTCAGTCTTATTGGAATATTGCATTTATAATTCAACTGAAAAGGTGATGTGATCAACGGTAATACGCCATATGTCTTGAAGACCTAAAAGGAGAATTATCAAACGGAGAAGGCTTTTGGGTTTGAGAGGAAGAAGAAAGTGGTTTTTTCTTCTCGATTTTAGTTTCGGACCTAAGCCACGACTCGACCACCGAGAGCAAATTTACTCTATTTTTCAATTCTTCTAGCTCAGCTAGCTTATCTGATCTCCTTAACACACCCTCTTGAACATAAACAAGATCAGTTGCCCATGTCTCAAGACCATCAAATATATGAGTTGCGTAAACAATTGTTGCTCCTCTCTGAGAAATTGTGAGATCAAATAAGTGAACATAACATAGAGCTATTGAGTAATCTTCCTTCAAACTGAAGGAATGGGCTGATTACAACAGTCATACTTGAAATATCTAAATTGTTATAAGTTAAAATAAAAGATAACAATTATGTTTCAAAAAAACCCACATCCTGCCAATATTTGCCTGTCATTTACACTCACTTGCACCAGAACTTTGAATATTTGTTTAGAAATTATAAACCTCAAGGAGATGATTCATCTTCGTAACACTTCAATGGGGTAATTGCAACGTTCGAGCATAGATGGATTTTTCATTTTTCGTAATTATGTTAAACATCACAGGCAATTTTAGGAATTAACCCGAGGCATAAATACAGTGAAAGATTTTGGCATTTTGCTGCTACGCTAATATTAAATGAAACATATTTACCAGCCAAATGATGTGACACATTCAGCAACAAATGAGTAGCCTAGGAAGACAGTGGTATTAACTATTAAAGCCTCTGGAATGAATATAAAATGAATTCGCATAGCTTACCTGCTCACATTCTTCCTTGAAAAAATCCAGTAAATCCATCCGAGCCACAACATCTAAATCAACAGTGACCTCATCAAGCAAAAGTACCTAGATAGGAAACCGTCCTTATGGTTAGCAAAATCCAAACAAAAAAGGGACAATTGTAAACATAGATAAACAAGGATATAGTCCACAAGCTCGTAAGTTATAATGAAGACAAGATGCACAGGATACTGATAATGCCTGATGGGTTTTATGCCTGCTCACAACCCCCAAAACGTCCAAGTTCAGCACAGACCAATTGAAAATACTTCTAAGGGCTAAAAATGATGGATATCATGGAACTATTAGGTAAGAGCACAGAAAGTGAAGTGAAACTAGAAACAGGCTGAGGAGTCCAATAATATTTACTTATTTAGTATCAGTCAGTAAGAACACTATTCAAGAGAACATACTTGAATAGCTTGAGGTACAAGGCAAACAGAACTACCTTGTAAGGATGAAGAAGGCCTAAGCAAATCTGTACTCGACGTCTTTGACCATCAGAAACTTTGTGCATACGCCAATGAAGATCAATATCCAACAATTCAATTAGCTTATCTCGCCTCACAGGGTCAACTCCTTCAACTGGATCATAACAAGGAAAAATGTAAGGACCTTAGTATAACCACAGTCCTTACCGCAACACCAGCCAAAAAAAGACAATCCCATTTTCGTCGGTAGAAAAAGGCAATTAATATCAGTTGTACTAAAATCAGAAAATCCATAGCTACAGGTAGACTCCCAAAACTGAGATGGGCATTAACATTCAGTATGAACTCTACCACGATAGACGGAATAGAAGTCATCAGAAATTACAGTAAATTAATCTAAGCATACAAAATTTACATGAAAACATCTAGTTCACACACCTCCAAATATCATATGCTCAGCTGAGAAGTCCCCTTGTAGTGGAAGTTCTCCCTGAGATTTCGGTAAAAATATATGGAAAATTAGCCAAAGCCGATTTCACTAGATAATGCATAGAACACATTAGTAATTTTTTCGTCACAGTAAACAACCCACAAATCCAAACTACATTTTTTCCACCATCTCCCGTGAACCATAACCGACAACTAATTAGCCAAAAACATATCCATATATGAGTCCATAACACATCACAGCTTCACATGCTAACCAACACATCCAGCAACAGCAACAAGCTAAAGATTTCAACTCAGACATTACAAAATCAAAGAACTGAGTGAGAGAGCCATGGCCGAAAAAACTCACAGCTGAGCCCACAGTTTTACTCCACGATTCCCCCAAATAAGCCAAATCGCCGTTGCAGACTAGGCTCGTGTCGTGGAAAGCCGACGAGTTCAGCACCCTCACCACGTCTTTACCGCCCACCATGTGCTTCCCCGCCAAAATCCTCAGCAGCGTCGTCTTGCCTACTCAAAATACCACCATCAGGCAACAAACAAACAATCAAACAGACCAAATTAGGGTTTCTAAAATCAATCTGCAGATGATTAAAGAAAAAAGCGAACCAGATCCATTCGCGCCGACGAGTAGGCACCGCGATCCGCTGGAGATGTTGAGATTGAAATCGAAGAACAGAGGGGAACAAGCGTCGTATGAGAACTGCATGCCGCTCACTTGAATGCTGTATGATTGGTTCACCATTTTCGACAATCTGCAGCTGGGATATGGATCTTTTTTTTTAAAAAAATAGCTCAATTAATTGCCGGTTGATGCAGTTGGAAAATTTTAAAGGTGCTTATAAGAGCAACTGCAACTCCAATGTTGCGTTATACTTTTATAGAAAACTCGTTCCAATATTGCGTTACATTTTCGTCTATCAACTTTTTCTTTCAAGTTTTTATTTTTTTGATTGATTTTTATTCTATATATTATTTAACAAAGTATATATTAATAAAATGATTTATTTTGTTAAAAAAAATATTCTGATTTTATTATTGTATTTATATTTTTTACTAATATATAAAGTAAAATATAGTGCTAGTGACTAGAGATGAAAATTAAATTTTGGTATTTTCTATCGTAAATAGTAGAACAGAAGACTGAAGATGGTCTAACAATAAAACTATATATAACTTAAGAAACGATTACAACTGCAATGTGAATTGATATCACACAGACCAGAACAAGCATGAACCCAAACCAAAACGTGACACTATGCAGATCAACTCAATCTTCCCTTGCTCCTCACGATTCATTTGTCGCATGAAATTGGAATTTCCACATATTGGGTCGCGGGCCGACATGGAGCTAGCGAGCCTTAATTTGTGTTAACAAACAATGAAAAAAAGTAGATAACGTTACATATCCTACCCAATGTACCTAACAAACATGCCCTAATCGTTGATTAATACGATTTATTGTTATTAACTCCATGATTTTTGTGTTGGGTCATGGGATAACGACAAAAAAAAAATAAAAATAAAAATTAAAAAATAAAAAAAGCAATAAATTATCAAGGTTGGTGACCTAGGTCATTTTTTGACCTTGAGTCACAATCGGTTGTGGAATGGAATGGGATACTTGTCCCATTCTTATTGGTATTTTTTTAGTATTAATTTAAATTTATATTAAATAAAAATAAAAATATTAAATTTGTATTTTTTCATTCTCTATAAATAAAGACTACATTCGATAGATTTTGAAACACAATTGTAATTTTTAAATAAAAAAAATATTGAGGTTGGATTGAGTTGTGGATAAATATAAGTTAGGTTGTAAATGTTGGGTTTTGTAGGTAGAGAAATAGAAATATTTTTTTATTATTAGGTTGTGTTGGGTTGGGTTATGAGTTGTGTAAGTGGATAAAATAGAAATTATTTTTTATTATTAAGTTGGGTTGGATTGGATTATGAACATAGATAGTCTAAGGTAAACTAGTATGAGTCCCGTGCAGTGCACGGGTGAGATATACATTAATATTTATAAATTAAATTTTTTTATTAAATAATATTTATAAATTAAAAAAATATAGAATCAATATGTAATATAATTTATCTATATTAATTTATTGAAAATGTTATATAAAGTTTAAATGTGCAAAATTACATAAAAATGTCTATTTAAAATTTATACACAACTTGTGCGGTGCACATAACTGCTAATAAATTACATTATATTCGTTTCAAAAGAAGTATCATTTCTAAATTTTTATTCAGAAATTCGATTTGACTATAATGTGATTCCATCATAAAATAGTTATTTTGGGAAAATTTTATTATATATTTAACAACCTATGTGAATAATAAGTATAATTATAAAATTTATATTGTTTCATTACTTAAAATAATTTATTTTTGTATAAACTTTTCAAATCAAAAAAATTAAGTAGTTGAGTAATTGATTAAACTATAAATAATTGACTACTTCGTTTACGTCCAAGTTAATATTGACCCATAAGTTATGAATAATTATTTTTTTGATTTTTAATTTTAAATAATTTTTTTATTTTATTTTTTTCAATATATTATATACCAAATTTAAACCATGCAACTAATAAAGATAATAACGGTAAGTTTTGTCAATATATTATATTCCATATTTAAATCATGTAAATAATAAAGGTAATAGTCGCAATATTTGACCAATAATTATGTACATTAACTACATTAATTTAGGCGGGGTTTTTTAAATTATGACAAAAAAATATTACCCAATTAGTAAATATGAATTTTTAGGCGAAAAACTAAATAATTTTTTAATGATTTTTAGTAAATACAACCGACCTGAATAAAATAAACTTCACAATTTATGTTTTGGAACCCTAATTGCCGAGCGCCTCTGAGACTCTAGAGTTCAGACTCGACATCAATAGAAGATATTTGGGTAAATTTATCTCCGAAGTATGAGTTTCTAATTTCTGCACTATCCGTGCGCTATTTTCTGGTCTATGATGTAGGATTTAACTCAGTCGTAGCCTGATTTAGTTCTGATTTTTTTTATTTGTTTTGTATTCTAGTGCAGGCAAAGGATTGCTAAAGATGTATCTCCAATTTTATATCAATGAAAATGGCGACAAAGTTTACACCACAAAGGTACTTCTCAATTTTGATCATGTTAGTGGAATTTGTACAGGAAAAAGGTGAGATGGAATGAATAATATTTTTTCGTAAAGTAATTCCCTTTCCTTTTTGTCAATAAAATGAAACAAAACGTATATACAGGAAAAAGGTGAGATGGAATGAATAATAATTTTCATTTTCATTTCGCATATGTAAGATGAAATGTAGGGTTTTAGTTTAGCAATATTTTGTTGATTGTGCTTCTTATGAATTGTATATCTAGATTACAGTAACATATATATATTACTTGTTCATGAGAATGCATATTTCAGTTTTTCTGAACGTATGAAAAACAAGGAGTCATTTGATCACATTTGAGCTTGATTGGTAATTGCATTTCTTTCTCTTTGCAGAAAGAAACACCCCTGGGTTTTTTGGCCACACAATCTGCTCATCCCGGTAAATCCAAATATGATCTTCTTCTTTTTTTTTTTTTTTTTCCNTGAATTATGGACTTTAGAGCATTTTAAGAAGATTATTCCAGACTTTTTCTTTTCTGTCATTGTTCATATTCTCTGTGGAGTGTTGGGAAAAAAAAGTTACGAAAGGCTTCAGAGCAGACTATGAGATCATGTTAACTACTTGCAATCCAGTAATTGTGAATTCATTCATCTTATTTTGGAAAAATCAAATTGAAATACTATATCTTGCAAATTAAGATCATTAGTATATTGAAATCCCCCTTGTGATCATATGAATTTGCGGCAAACACTAGATATATCATTTCTTTCTTAGTTCATCTGAAAGAAAAAAATTAGCAGTTTATTCTTCTGGTGTAGGCATTTTATTTAAATTTATTTTTTATATTTAATGTTCCCCTGAACCTGATATTCGTCTTCATTTTGCAGCCCGCTTTTCCCCAGACGACAAATACTCGAGGCAGAGAGTTTTACTCAAGAAACGTTTCGGTTTGCTGCCAACACAACAACCACCGCCCAAGTACTGATTCCCCTTAGGGATTTAATATGTACTGAAATGAAAATATTTTAGTGTTTCGATTTTTCTTGTGAAATGTTGTGCATTCGAATCTCTTGTGATGACGTTTGGCAAACACGTGAACTGGGATTTATCTCGCTTTATCATGATAGTGTGTTAAACAATGATACATGATAGTATTTTTTTATTAGTGTGCTTTATCGTAATCCCTTTGGTGATTTTACTCGACCTGGTTGTTTCGTTATTTTATTTTTATGTTTTTTGTGTGACCTCCTTTATTCTTGGCTCTTAACGAGCTGTCCGAAAGTTTTTTGCCATGTCCAGGCAAATCCAATCATAGATTTATCATATAAAAGAATGATCAGTTAATATCAGAATAATCATAAATCAATCCTTAATTGAGCAATGTGATCGATCTTGTTTCATTGCAATGTGTGATGTAGCAATTTGGGATTGAAATTATTTCATTGTGATAAGGAAAGTATTAGTTGGACATATAATTTTTGAGGTTGCAGTTATCGGTTTAGCATATTATTCTGATAATAATGGAAGATACTTTCATTTGATAATAAGCACGAAACAGTTTTTGCATAGATAAAGAAGTAAATTTAGTTCAGGAGTACTCAGAAAATATTATATACGAAAAGGAAAGAACTGTAATGATAAAAGAAATCCTTTTAGTTAAATTAAATAGTAGAACAAAATATTTTTCTTAAACAAGAACTTGGGTACATTTTTTTCTTTTTCCTTTGTTTTATTTTTCTACTTGCAAACACCCACTTTTTCACGAGGCCTACAAACGAGACAATCCGAGTCATTTGATATTCGAGTTTGAGCTAGAGACTTTATTGAACCGAGTTGCGCTTATGAATGAAAAATGAGCTTGAATTCGACTTGTTTATCAATATTATCGAGCCGAACTCGAGCTTTAGTAAATGGAACGCGAGTTTTAACGCGTTGAAGTATAGAAAACTTCATTAAAATTCTTATTTTTGAGTTTTACGAGTCAATTTCGATTAGTAAACTAAACGAGTTTAACTAACCTCAAGCTTTTACGAAGTAAAACCACAAACGTTTTGTTTATTAGCTTTTACTTCACCTAAACAGCTTCCCATATCGTTGGGCCGGGTTCAGTTCACTTAAAGCTATAACCTCAACAAATCAAAGAGTTCAGCCCGGCCCAGTCCTTTAAACAGGTAAACAGCGCAGGGGCAAAACTGGAATTCCACAATACGTCACGCATCGTAGACTTTGGTCTCTACAGCTCCACCTCAAAGCTCTGCGCTCAGTCACTGAACGAAGACTCGCAAATTCTCTTCTACAGTAAGTAAGCGCTCTCATCTCTCTCGAATTCTCCTACAGATCGTTAACCCTAGGGTTTTACATTCGCTGATCATCCTTGATTTGGCCTAAGATATTTCCAGGCATGGCGCGGAATTTAGGATTTCTGGTTGTGGCACTTTTGGTGTTGGCGTGGAGATGTGAATCGGCCGTGTTCGGTCCGGTGTCAGAATCTCATCGATCAGCGGCATTGGAGCTTTTTCGTACTACAGGCGATGGATCTTTTGGAAGGTGATTGTTTCGAAACTTCTCTAAAACCCATGTTCTCTCGGGCGTGAGCTGTTTATTGGTTTGATCACGTTTTGAATGTTTCAGTGTCGTGGAAAAACTTAGCTGCTTTGTGGTTAGGAATTGTGATAGCGATTAGGAACGGGGTAGTTTTTGATATTTGGTTGACTTCGATACTTAATCCGTACTGATGATTAGAGAGATCTGTTATTTTGCAACAGCTAGACCGTGAGAATGTGGTTGAATTGGTTACTGCTGCCGTGCTAAAGAAAAATATGACTCAAGATTCTAGTTTTTGTGGTTATTTGGCCTTTTGGGTTTTTTGGCTTGAGCTAGTTTGGTTGAATTTTTGTTAGCATTTCTTTCCTACATACTTCTACGCATTTTTCACATTGTCTGTAGAATAATATAAAAGAGAATTGGATACTGTAAATAATGCCATATAGTTTTAATTTGCAGAAATATTGCTAAGCATTTTTGTTTCTATATATTTGGTGCGGGGTGAGCCAAGTGGCATCATTTGCACAATAATTGCGTCTTTGTTGCGACATGAAGAATAAATTTGGCATGATTATTTAAAATAGTTTTGTCCATTGCAAATGGAGCTGGAAGAGTCATTGTTGACAATTTTCCTAGCATAGTGCTAATAATGGACTAGATCAAAATGGCTCAATTAAATTCTAGTGCTTCTTCTATTAGTGAAGTTTCTAGAAAAAAAAAATATATCAAACGGCGCAATGCACCTTGGGTCGCTACAGAAACAACCTCCTTGTATAATTACAAGGGTAAGGTCTGCGTGCAACTGACCCCCCAGACCCCAACCTGTTGGGAATATACTGGGTATGTTGTTGTTGTTGTTGATTATTTAAAATAGTTGGATTTCTCACTTGGTTGCAACTATTTCCAGCCTGGAGGATGTCTACGAGGCATTAAAGACATTTGAGGTTCTTGGGATTAAAAAGGAGTCTGATGTTAAGATTTCTGCTTGTGCATCTGTAGCAAGCACCCTATTGTCTACTTCTTCCACTGTGAAGGATTTATTCCATGCTCTAAAAGTTAATGGCATACTGAAGTGTGAGCTCAAGAAGGAGGCTTTTATGGTAGTAAAAACTATGTTTATATATATATATATATATATATATATATCATATTTTATATATATAATCAATGACTTTCTTCTTGGCATATCTTCTAATTATATGAGAAACTGTACTTTACCCATTTATCTTTCTTTCAATGCCAGGGGGCTGAATCTAAACTTACAGGTTCTCTGAATGCTGTCGATTCACTTCTTGATTATTACTATTCCATAGGAGGTCTAGTCCTTTTGAAGGTACCGTACTTGATTCATTTAGAACTTAATGTTATTAGTCAACATAAGTGTATCGATATTAGTGTTCTTTTGGCATAAGGAATTTTTATTCTATGCTGAGTTTGAGCTCCTTATCTTCTATATCTGGAAACCAGGATCAGACTTCTGATGTTGATGTGCACCTCAATGATGCTGATAAAATATTTCGCTCTATCAAGGTAAAATCTGAATATGTTTCATATTCTAGCCGATAAATTTGTTGTATGTACTAACACTATGTAGAATTTCTGAATGCCTAATACATTGCCAATGCTTGTCAGTCTCTCAGTCAGAGTGATGGGAGGTGGCGCCTTAGTTCAAACAACCCAGAATCTAGTAATGATGCTGCCGGTAAGTAACTAAGTATCACACGTCTATTTCATGTTACAAATGCTTATTTTAACAATACACTCATACATTTTCTCTTGATTGTTTAATTTATTCCTTTATTGATGTAAAATTTATTTATTTCTTGTGGTTTGTTATTTTATAATAGCTGCTACCTTGTGATTTGTTTTTACAGGTATAGCCCTGGAAGCCCTGGCTGGAGTTATTTCTTTAGCATCTTCTGAGATTGATCATTCTCTGGTGAGGGTTACATCTGTCTTTATATCTAACATATTGTGATGAAATTGGTTAAAATAATACTGCCTTTTACTTATCTTCATAAAATATGTTGAAGACAAACAAGTGATGCAGTTTATCCTGAGTTTTTCAACATGAAATTTCCGTAACTATTCGAGTCCTTTGTAGTGGAGTTGCTGGCTTCTTCCGTCATTTACCTATATTATAATAGCATTCTTCAGTTTTCTATACCTAATTTGTAAAATAATTATCAAATGCATTAATCACCAGATGTGTTCTCTTGAATATTATGAGATTACTTACCATGTATGTAATATATATGATAACATGACCCATTATGCCTGTCTTATTTTTAGTGATTCTATTCATAATAACTCTTGTATGTGGGTGCTTAGTCTCCTTTATTTCTAAAAACTCCGGTAGGCAGAAATATAGTATTCTGATCTTAATCTGCCTCCTATCCTATGCCAGATTGCTACTTTGAAAAATGACATTGTGAAGCTTTTTGATGGTACTGAAAAATATGGTATGTTGCTCTTTCCCTATCTGGCCCCGCTTTCTTTTGTTTATTTCAACAGCTATTGCATTTGATTTTAGTCTTTTATTTACTTTAACAGCTGTTGCATTTGATTTTAGCGGCATAGGGTCTCCATGTAGTGATCCTTTGGAAATGATCATTACAGGGACGAAAGAACCTGTTATCCTTTTTTTTGTGTTGTTTTTTTGCTGTAGTTTGTTTGTTTATTTTTGTGTTTGTGGCTATGTTCTGATTGTGAGAGATAAAATCAACAATCTATAGCATAGTTGAACTACTTTTGGTATGGCAGTCTCCTGCTTTCATTGGAGTTGCTACAGTCGTGATGCATTATGGGCATGAGCGGATGAGCTATACGTAACAATTACTTTTCACGTGATAAAAGAAACCTTGAATTCTTATATTTTCTCTGTGTAAAACATGTTCTAATCTCTACCTTTGACAACAATATATTATATATATGACTTGCATGTTTGAGTTGTGTAAGAATTAGTGATCTTGCTCCCTGATTATGTAATAAGATAAGAGACAAACTCAGTATATTAGTTATTTTAACTGAAGGTATGCGGAGTGCTGAAAGTTCTATTCAAATGCTATATTGTAAAAGCCCATTCTCAAATATGTTCTACCAGAAAGGAAAAAGCTAATTTTTTTTTTCGCTTTGTATAGGTTCTTCATTTTTCCTCATTTTCATAGTATCATTTTCCAGATGGAAGATTAGTTATGTTATCAGACATTGCTATGCTCATATTTTGGTTGGTCCCAACTGTCATTTGAATTTGATGCCACAGTATTGGCTTATATACTTTATAGGGTCCTTTTTTTAATCTTCATACTTAAGTCTTTTATTCTATCTGATGAGTCCAAGGTCCAACAATAAAACTAGCAAAAACTTGTCTTTGTTATGTCTTATCAAATCTGAATTTGTATGGAAAGATTGAGCTCTGCTATTGTGTTCAAATTATTATACAACCTTTTTTTTTTTTGCGTGTGTGTGTGTGTGTTTAGATGATGGGACTTGTTACTTCGATGAGAAGCTTGTTGATGCGCATAGCCACCGAGGTCCTCTTTCAGCTTCTGCATCAGTAGTCCGTGGAATAACAGCTTTTGTGGAAGTCACCAATGAAAATTTAAATGTATGTTATTCATTTTTTTTGGTGTGTGTGTGTGTGTGTATCTATTATATCTTCCTCGAGATATTCTGAATCTAGTGGTTTAACAATTGCAGCTTCCAGGGGAGAAAATTTTGGGTTTGGCAAAGTTTTTTCTTGGTGTTGGAATTCCTGGGAGTGCTAAAGACTTGTATTACCAAATTGATGCGTTGGCATGCTTGGAAAACATTAGGCAAGTAACCACATAGTTATTTCTACTCACAGATTTCTTTTTGTGTTTCCCCTTTCTCCATCCTATGTTTTGCTACCTCTCGATATGATTCTGTTATGAAGTTACTTTCTGAATGCACTTTCCATTATAAAAGTTTATTAGTGTAGTTGCTCCTGTTACATTTTATACTTGTTAAAGTTCTAAAATTACGCTACACACTTTCTCCTTTTGTTTCCAGGGGATCAATTCCTCTTATTTTGTCACTGCCAGCCACTGTCCTTTCGGTGACCAAGAAAGATCAACTTAAGGTCTGCCAGCCTCATAATCTTTTGCTCTAATTAAATTGATTGATCAATATTTTATCCATGATTTTCCTACTTATTTTAATTAGATTATGTTTTGTTTATTTGATTTTGACAGTTGTAGAATAAATTTATTTTAGCTTGCATCTGATTTGTTGCGAAACTCATTGCTGCCTGCTCAAAACTGTTTAATATAAATCTATTGAACAGACTTATAGTTGATTTAATACAATTCATGGAGACATGATTATATGTTTAATTGGAGTCTTCTGTTCAGAATGCTGTGCTTGTGCAGGTCAAGTTATCTAGCTCATGAACACTCTGTTTTCAGGTTAGGGTCAGTACTGTGATGGGTTCATCTGCTCCGCCTCTGTCTGTAAAACTCAAGCAGATATTTGTGTCTGGCTCTAAGGATGCTTCTATCATTAACCAGGTATCTGTTGTGCTCTACCCTCTCAATAGATGGCAGTGTAGGAAGTTAGATTTCTATATTGTATGTGGTTATATTCGTTATGTTTTAACTTTAATGCATGTTAAGTGATAATGCTTATGATTTTTCACAATGCAGGAGCTGAAATTTGATCCTGAGACTGCAGTGCATGTCTTGGAAACATTGCCTACAGATGTTGATGTTGGAAAATATATTTTTTCTTTTGAGGTACCTAACTTTCCCTTTTATTCACGCCCCTTAGTATCCTCTGATTTTGTTTAGTATAGCCAATCTTCTCTTTCCTGTCATGTAATGATATCATTACTTGCACAATTGTTAGATTGTATTTGAAGATCCAGAACATAAGAAAAGCTATGCTACTGGAGGGAGGACAAAAGTACCTATTCATGTGACTGGAGACATTAAGATCGAGAATGCAGAGATTGAAATACTTGACAGTGACCTTGGGAGTGTGGCAACTAAGACTAAGTACATTCTTAACTTATCTGTTTATATTAATGGATATCTTTTTTCTTTTTCTTGATTAGTTTTTGTCCTGCATTCTTTTTCCTATGTGGATTCTCATACTTCTTAGTGTAATTAAATGTCTCAATGTTATGTTCTTAATTTCCCCTTTTCTACTAAATAATTTCTCGAGTTATCAACACTGAACCCCATAACTCTTTGTGTCATTTCATATTTTGTATGAAATTATGTGGACTAGGGGCAAGTTTTGTTTTGGTTTGTTTCTTTTTATCTATCTTTCCGGCAGCTGATGAATTATTTCTTGCTTGGTTCCCTTCTAAATCTCATTCTTCAAATATCCTATTAATTAATTATATGTAATCCAAAGCTTTCATTTTTTAGGCACTTACAGTATGTAGAATGGAAGCTTTAATGCTTTCTTTTTTCTTTTTTCTTTTTTTATCCAGGCTGGATTTACCAGGAGAGAACTCTGTTGCGCTGTCTGCTAATCACCTCCAGAAGTTGAAGTTGACCTTTAGCTTGACTAGTCCATTTGGAAATGCCTTCAAGCCTCACCAGGTTGGTCTAATAGTTGCTCATGTTACTATATTCTTTATTAATCATGTGTTGTGAGTATAAATGTATTATTGTGCTATTCTATTCAGGCATTCCTCAAGCTGAGACATGTAAGTGGAGTTGAACACATCTTTTTGGTGGGGAACTCAGGCAAAAAATCCGAGATAGTACTAGTTAAGTGCTACTTTCTCAACCTTCTGTACTTAAAATTAGATTATGCTCCCATCTCGGCGCACCTTTCAGTCATCATATTCTGATTATTGTAGTTGATGTCATTGTTCATATTATTATTCCTATCTATATACTATCTTCAATTTTTATGTTCATATTGTGTAGTAATTAGTTTGTGAAATCTTACTAGCAACTGCTGGTGATATAGTACATTCTTCAACTTCAGACCCGCATCATTATCTCAATGAACCTTTGCTATATATTAACTGTATATCTATTGTAGGATTTTCTGGGTCTGGTTGAGAAATTCTTCTACTTGTCTGGGAGATATGACATTCAACTTACAGTTGGAGACTCAGTCATGGTAAATGCTTTATGAATCAAGAGTACCACATTTTGAAACTCCGTATTATCTGCTCGTTCGCATATATCACATGTTTGATCTTGTGTTCTGTACATTCAGGAAAACTCTTTCTTACAAGCTCTGGGTCACATTCAATTGGATCTTCCTGATGTACCTGAAAAGGCTGTCCGACCTCCCGCACAACCTGTTGACCCGTACTCTAGATATGGGCCTAAGGCAGAGATAGCTCACATTTTCAGAGCTCCAGAAAAACGACCCCCTAGAGAGCTTTCACTTGCTTTCTTGGGCTTAGTTCTCTTGCCATTTTTCGGCTTCTTGGCTGGGGTAACCTTCTAATTATATATTATTACCGTTCTTCCATTCATTATTTTATCCCAAGAGATCCCCTAAAGCT